TAACTTTTACTGCCAGCCTAAGCTCCGTTTCTGCTTTGGCTTTCCTCCCGGCTTCCCTGCAAGCTTGAGCCAAGCAGGTATTCTCCTTGGTGGCTAGTTGGGCCAGGAGGCTGGGCACAACTGACCTATGGCCTTCTGATGCAGGATGGGGGTTTCTGGGCAAGGGAAGAGTCCATGGTTCTGGTCTCCTGCTTTAGGGTGTTTTTCTGTATTTTATATTCAGCATTCACTGGATGAAATGCAGAAATAGAGCCAACTCCATTAACTTCTCAGCATTTTTTAAAAGAAAAGCTTTACTCTGTGAAAGAATTATTTTAGGACTTTGTTTTAATTAAATAGAAGAATCTGCCCACCTCCCATAGTCGAGCACCAAGACTGGAGAGAGGTTCACTACATGCCCCTGTTCTGTACTGGCTAAGCAGGGATCCAGGTTTTCTGTTTGCCTCACAAAAATTCAGTAAAACTCAGATGTTCTCTTTTTAAGGAGAAAAAATGTGGGAAACAGTGGGTTTCCCTTTGCAGGCTGGCTCCCCACCACTACATGCAGTCCAGGGGGACATGGGGGGCATATGCCCCCCAGATCTGTGCACAGGGAGGGGGTGGTTGCAGGCTGTCTGCTGCAGGCTCAGGCTCCTTGCGCTGCTGCCCTCCCCTGGGGCCTCTGTGGCCCAGTGGGTGAGACCCAGCACAGCAGGGTAGAGCAGGACAGGGAAGCTCAGTGCCACCACTGGAAGCCTTGCGCTGCCATGACGAGGCAGCCCCTGCCTGTCTGGCAGCAGCAGGGCCAGCAGCACAGAGTTGTACCCCTTGCTGCTGCCAGGTAGATGGGGTGCCTCGCCATGGCGACATTGGGCTCCCAGGGGTGGCACTGAGCTTCCCCACCCTGTTCTGCCCTGCCAAGCTGGGTCCTGCCTGCTGGGCCTTGGAGACCCTGGGACAGGGCAGCAGGGCAGGTAGCCCAATCCTGCAGTAGTAGGCAGGCCTCATCTGCCCTCCCCTGCCCACGGGCCCTGTGCTCCACTCTGCCTTAGTAGCTGCTACCTTCCATGAGCAGCAGCAGGGCCTTGGGTGCTGCTGGGGCAGGGGCTGTGGACTCGGGTCTCTGGCCCCATAGCCTTGGTAGCTGGGGGCGCCCTCCAGCAGGGCTGGGGGCCGTGGATGGGGAGTGAGGGCACCAGCAGATCCCAGGGGGCTGCGGGTGGGGAGTAAGGGGCACCAACAGGTCTAGTGGGCTGTGGGTGGGGGCGGTGAGGGGCACCAAGAAGGCTGTACTTCTGAAGTGCCTATCTTTTTCCATGCCGTGTTATAAGGAGCCTAACATTAGGTTCTGGATTCTGCTCTGGTAACCAGACACCTACAGACTAGGCACTACGGCTCCTGTTTTGTAGGAGCCAAAGTCCTTTATTGGATCCAGCTCTTAATATCTCAAACGTACTGATCAGTAAACAATATGTTTGAGCTCTTTTTATTTGTATTCTGTACTTCCAGTTTTGTGAAGTACAGTTTCGTGTGTTTCATGTTCCCTTTCTTAGCTCTCATATTTTTTGTCACTTAATTGGTTTATCATAAATTATCTAAATTATAAATAGTTCCGTATTGAGATTCCCTCTTTCCTCTGTCCCTTCCTGCAGGGTCACTGGTAGGAGGCTGACTGCAATACAAACACTTAACCTAAATAATTTAGTGTTATCTGCAGCTTTTGTTAAATCTCTAGCCTCACCCTTGTTTGCAGAATATTAGTAAATGTATTAAATGATGAAGAACCTACGAGACCTTGAGAGACCCAACTGTTAACCTTTTGCCATGATGAAGACTGATCATGTAACTCTGTTCTTTACTCTGTGTCTTCTAGGCATTTCTTTTAATTCATGACCATGGTTCACTTTGCTAGCAGCTCAGTTACTTCATAGTTAAGTCCCGTCCGAACTCTTGGATGTATACCATCTGGAGTCTGGTGCCTCAACTAATTCATTTCTACCCAGGAGAACTTTTACAATCTTTTCTCTGATGCCTGATGAAGGGTGTCTGTGCCCAAAAGCTTGCAATTAAAAAAAAAAAAATGTTTTTGCAAAAATCTTGTTGGGCTAATCAAAGATATCACTTGTACCGCAAGCCCTGATTGCTCAATTTTAAGTTGGCTCCAGTGCTTCTTCTGACACCTTGGTCTCTGAGAGGACATCATTTTTATTACCAGGAAATAGGGAAACACAGCTACTGGACTTTCTAACACGAGACTTCACCACAGAAGAAGCAAAAATATAATCTGAGGAATGTCTCTATTGCTTCCTTAGTGTTTTGGAATACGATGCTGAAAATCATGGCCCAGCCTACCACTTCCTCCTCCATGTGCACCAACCTGAAAATGAGAGTGGACCTGTCCTGCTATTCACAAGCCTGCATTGGTGTGAGAGCAGTAGCAGGGGTTACTCCTTTAGGGCGCTTCATTGCCTCATTTTTGGGTTTGCTGCATGCAGAATTGGGAGCAGATGGAGGAGTGTTTGGTGGCACACTCAAGGATGGCATGGAAGTAGTATAGCCATACCCTGTGTTTGTCAGAAATGCTCTTGTATTACTCTCTTTAAACCCCTAGGACAGTGCTTCCCAAACTTTTCCTCAGCAGGACCCCATTTGTGGTACTATTTCCTCAGCAGGACCCCGTTTCCTCAGCATAGCCCCTCAGTCCCAAGCCACAGCTGCCCACCCCTGTGACCCCGTCTGCTGATGTTGCAACCCCAGTTGCGGTTGCAACCCACAGTTTGGGAACCGCTGCCCTAGGATCTAGCAGACCCTCTGATTCTTTTACTGACTGCCTGCTTCTATATATTTAAAGAATAGTCATTTGTTTGTTTGAACACTTTTAGCTATTTCCTGTTCAATTCCATGTTGGCTTTCTAATTTCCTTCTTATTTCTTGACTGTTGTAATCTGCCCTATGGTTTATTGGCTTCTTCATGTTAAGATTTCCAAATATTGAAGGATTTCTTTTTTGTCTGTAACAGTCTTGGACTTTGCCATATTGTTTTTTTTCCTTGTTTTTTTAGTGACCTTTTTGTTCATGTCTTCTGAGACTAAAGCTATGTGCCACCTTTAGGGATGTTTTTACTTTCTTTACCCTTAACTCTTTTTCCTTTTAATTAACCTAATTTTTAAGATCAGTTTTTAAAGGTTAATGTCATTGTAACACCTTTTGGTGTCCTACCTGCCTTTGGATGTTGAACATAATGATATTGCAGTTACTCTTACTTAGTGATTCGGCTACTGTTACCTCTCAAAATAGCTCATGTGTTACTTACAGCTAAGTCAAGAATAGCTCTCCTCTTATTGACATTAGAACTAGCTGTTCCAAGAATTAATTCATTAACATTTAGAGAAAGTTTCTCTTAACTCTGCTTTGCTGTGCCATTTCACCTGTTTGTAGATGGGTGGTTGAAGTTCCTCTATTACTGTCTTCCTGGGTTTTGCTGCCTTTTTGCTTTGCTGAATGCTGTGTGTTCATTTACTTCTATCAGTTCAGAGGCAGCTTAGTTTCGGTATATATTTGGTATTCCTGCAGATTGGGATTTGTATCCAGATAGATTCAGCTATATAGTCCCCGATGCTCAATTTTTTTTCTCCCTGTAGAATCCTCTTCACTCTTCTCTCCTGTATAGCTAATAATCACCTATTGCAGTATGCCACTGATTTTTGTCATTCTCTCAAGTTTCTGTAATGCATGTCAAGACCCTTATCAATTGCTAAGAAGTCTAATGACCCTATTTTTGCTTTTAAATTACTTTTATTTGTGTATGAATATTAACAGTTTTTTATTTTTGAGTTTTCATTTTACTCTGTAATTCAAGACCCTGATTTTATAGCAATTTTTATTGCTCTCGTTCCTGTTTTAGTTCAGTTATATTTGTATCCATTAGCAGACAGGATGCAAAGATAATACTTCTGTGATTGTCATTACCAATAATGTGCCTCAGATTATCCTGCAATTTAAAAAATATATTTACTGTTTGCTTCTCGTTTTCATACTTGTTCTTCCCCCCCATTAGAAAACTGGTCCTCTTATGTTGTGGAAGGACATAAAATGTGCTAACAGTTTGACTATGGAGTTTCTGTTTCATTCATTTCTACTGCATATATATATATTTTTAACTGAGTGAATCCCCACTGAGAGAGAGAGAGAGAGAGAGAGATTTAGGGATGTTATTGAACAATTTTATACCTGTCTGTAAAACTAAATTCAAATCCCGGCCCCTACCTTAAGGGTGGGTGGAGGTTTAGAGGTGTGGCGTGACTCTGACCTGCTGTGCTGGGCTTGGGGTTTGAGAATTTGGCAGGAGGATGGGTGGTCGTACTAATGGCCACCACTCCCCCACTGCTAAATTTCTGGATGTTGAGAACCCCACGGACCAGGTAGGATGGCTCTGTAGGCTACATTTGGCCCATGGGCTGGAGGTTGAGCACCCCAATCTAAACAGAACAGATTACAAATGTGGACTGATGAGAATCAAAAATCCCATGGGAACTATGGGACTTCTGGTGACATGGCATTGATTAAAACCCCTGAGGATATGTATGGTAGTGGGAGGAGTTTTGAGTGCATTGGAAAATTTGGGGGCAGGCAGCAGAGGGAAGCAGCCAGTACTAAAGTGATCTGGTGAATTTTGGTCGTGGGTTACTGCCAGGAAAGTATTTTCCTCTTATTCCATGCCCCTTTCTGCCCCTCCCTCCCACTCCTTATCCTTGACTCCTTCTCTGCAAGCTGGCTGGAAAAAAAAATCTGTGGCATTTTAACCATTTTGACAAGTTGTATCTGTTTTACTTTTGGATCATCATAAAGGTATTGGCTTTCACTTGATTGATTTTCTAATTTATGCAGTTCACCAATTTGGCCAGTCATTTGAGACACACTCATGGGTGCTATGTGAAAGCTATAATTGGAAAACACGCCTGCAATCCAGTAGTACATTTGGCTCTCTCTCTGAAATGAGAAATGGCATGTAAGTATAGTATACTAGAATTATGTAAAACAATGAGTGTAATTTACCGAGGAAAAATGAATACCATATTTTCTCACATACAGCATGCACCTCTTCTCCAAAAATTGCTGCTGGAAATTGGATTGTGCATTAAATGTGAGAAATAGGATAAGATGGGGTTCTGCTGCTTACTGGGTGAAACTGAATATAAAATCTGCACAATTCACCAGGAGCAGAGCAATGAGCCAGCTAAGCTCCCTAGCTGCTGCTAATCAAGTACTCGCTACAAGGAAAAATCTCTTTCTTAATTCTGTCTTTCAAAAAGGTGTGTATTATGTTGTGTGTTATGTTGTATGTGAGAAAATATGGTATGTTGACGTGTCATGACAATTTGACAGTCTGATAAATGAGGTCACTGATGAGACAGGCTTTTCAGATTTCTTGCTGTTGCCTTATTAAAATTGCCTTACAAACTTTTAATCTATTTTACAGACTGAATTATTACTACATTGCATACAGGTAAAATATTTTTTAAAATATGAGAAAATTAAGGAGAGATACTTTAAATTTTTGGCAGTGGAATTTAAATGAATAAAGGTAACTTTATCTGATTTTTTGTTTCTTTCACTCGTAAAGGATATTTCTTACACTTTTAATCCAGCTTTTAATTTTTTTATGTTGGTGCCTGGTGTATCAGGGTTGGTTGCATGACTTTTGGCTCTTTTTTGCAGGTCTGCTGCAAGGCGACTATTCAGTGCTTCACACACAACAGTGGACTTAAAGGAAGTGAAAAAATTCCAGCTTTTGGCACACAAGTGGTGGGATGAACAAGGAGAATATGCACCCCTTCATTCTATGAATGACATTAGAGTGCCATTTGTTAGGTACAGTTTGAAAATATTTAAACTTTTTTATGTTTTCCCCAAGCCATCCTCTAAGACAGTGATTCTCAGCCAGGGTGCCACAGCACTGTAGGGTGCCTTCAGATCTTTTCAAGGGCACCCTGGGTTGCCATGCAATGTTAGTACTGTTAGGTGTACAAATATGATTCACAAGAAAAACTCAGAGATTTCAAATGAGAATCCACAGTGTTAAGAACATTCTGATCTGTGGTCTAGCTGAGTTCTTTGCAACAGAAGAGTTCCCCTATTATTTCTCTATAGTCAAAAAATGAGTGAAACAAAGAGCTAGCATTTTCCAAGGGGTGCCTCAAGTCTAATAAGGGATATCTCAGATCTAAAAAGGTTGAGAACCACTGCTCTAGGAAATGTAAAAGAGTTAAAGATGAGGCATGCCTTGGTTTGGCTATTTAGACATCTTTAAAACAATTATCTCAAACCCACTTGTATCTTTGTGCATGTACACTTTATTTCAGGGATACTTTATTGAACCTGAGTAGTGATCATCAGCTGGGAAGTCCTTTGTCTGGCATAAAAATCCTAGATGTTGGCTGTGGCGGAGGATTATTAAGTGAAGTAAGAGAGTTTGTTCTTGTTTCTCTTCTTAAGGAGCTTATGGAGATTTTGAAGTTTGATTTGTTTAACTTCTAAATGCTGGGGGTGAAGGATTTCCTCCCTTTTCTACAGTACTGGTGTCTTAATTACTGAATGTTGTAGAGTATGATATGTATAGGCTGTGGCTTGTTATACAGCTGTGCTCCATTTGAGACCTTAAGGTCATCCATATAAATAGGTCCCTCAAGTACCTCACAAACAGAAGAATAGCATACTTCTTTTCAAGAATGGCTTTGGAAAGTTATGACAACATGGTTTGGAGATTCATTAATGACCATTCTTGTTAATAAAGTGGCAATCTAGTAGATTCCATTATCAATCTATTTTTGGATGCACAGTGATTTTTAAATATTTGCTTTTTTGTCTTAAATTTTTATACCGGGGTAAAATCCTCATTTGTGCCTTTACCCTGTATAAAACAAGGACACAAAGCAGCCTAAAGAGGCCCTGAAAGCTTTGTAGGCAGTAGAGAGATTATCCCGGTGCACCTTGTGGAAGACAGATGACATTAAGGTTGTTTCTTGAGGATCCCTTTGTGAATCTGGGGACAGGAAGTATGTTGAGAGCAGGAGTTCAGCACTCAGGTTCTGGGTGCTGCTGTGGTCAATAGGGGCAGTGCTGGGTAGCTGCTCTAATTTACACAGGTCCTCAGCTCTGTGTAAGTTGTTTTTGGAGTGTCTCCAGCCAGTAGGACACCCCAGGATCAGGAAGCCTCAGGGTTGATTTCTAAGCTTATTGAGGTATAGAATAGAATATCACTGTAGGTCTCTGTCCAAAGGTGATACCTTCCTCCTCTCTACTCCTCAAGCCTTTCCTAGTGGGTTGAACAATCCTTTAGTCATGATAGAAGAAGAAAACTCATCCTTTCTCTGCTATCAAACAGTTTTTATTTCCCACCCTCCACCAAAAGAAGACACAAACCAGATGCAACAAAAACTACATTAGAACCATGGAATTACCTTAATCTTTGCCTTGTCTGGGAAATATTAAAATAATGTGACTTGATTCAAAAAAGTTGTGACTGCCGTGCAGTACACAGGAGCATTAAATTGCAGGTGCACACTTAAAATACATGCATTGTGCATCGGATATTTTTTTTAATTTCCAAATTCCCCTGGTGAACAAGTATAGATAAGGTAATGTCAGTGCATAATGGCAAACCCAGTGGCGCTTGTAACTTTCACAGAGGGAATAACTAATGAATTTAAGATTGTAAGAATACAAATTTGGTCCTGTACAGCCTGTTTCAGTTTCAAAAGAGGTGATAATGATGGTGTTAACTTAAGTAAGATGACACTGGAGAAACTTCAATGACACCCAAGATTTTCACTATCCTAGTAAACATTGGTGTGTTCAGTTTTCAGTACTGAGCAGGCTTCATAGATAGCCATGTATCAAATAGCCATTAAAAAGATATGTGGATTTACCATTACAGATAGATGTAGAGGAAAAGAATGACCACATGTATTCTCTCTGTTTGGTTTTCTCTTATCATTAAAGAGGAGAAAAACGTCTACTGGGGCAGCAAAGTGGGCAAAGAACAATTATTCTAAGAACATTAAAAACAGACTAAAATTTTTCCAGTGGAATTTATCATGTTGGAAAAGTGGAAAATCTAAATTCTTTGTTGTGTATTATCTTCAAGAGATCTTTCAAACAGTGCTGTAGGATCAGAACCCATTCTCATGGCTATTTGTCTCATTCTTCTAATGATGCTTTTTGCAAGCAAATTTATTTCTGCTAGTTTATATAGGATTTACATAAATTGTTTTCAAGCTGAGAATAAACAGTGCTCCATATCATTAGCCTCTAGGTAGACTGGGAGCTTCGGTTACCGGAATAGATCCTCTGGAAGACAACATTAGAACAGCTGAACAGCACAAATCATTTGATCCAGATCTAGACAAGAGAATACAATACAAATCTTGTTCATTGGAGGAGATTGCAGAAGAGTCTACAGAAACCTTTGATGTAATCGTAGCTTCTGAAGTAGTGGAGCATGTGGCTGACCTAGAAACATTTATCTCATGCTGCTATCAAGTGTTAAAAGTAAGCGGGTTCTTTGTTTTCATTTAAGAGGTGTTATTCACCCTTAATATTAAGATTTTTGTTTAAAAAGAAATGAAAGAGGTTACAAAGACACCTGAGAAGCCTTAATGATACCATCACATAATACTGCAGAATTACCAGGATGTCCAGTACAATGTGCATAGGGCCATACAGAGTCAAATATGAAAAACTTTCTGTAGCCTGATGGAAGAGGATTTGACAGGTATGTTGATGGTATTTAAAGATAGGAATTGAATCTAAATTCTTTTTTCATGCAATTTTATTCTGACTAGCATTAAATCAACACGTATTCCTTGATTGCTTTTAAAGAGGGTAATTTATATTTAATACTCAAATTTGTTTCTTCTTCTATATTAACCAGAAACAAGTATATAAGGATGTTTGTTCTAGTGTGCTAACTGGGGCTCTCCTTTATTTCACTGACTCATCTTCGTCCTCATAAGAAGGAACAGAATTTATTTGAACAGGAAACTTTTGAGGGAACGACAACTTTTGTTATTTTACTTCTGCCAACAAGTTCTTTTCCTGTAGTGCACAAGATCTCTAAACATTTTTTGCTTTGTTTTGTTTGTTTTTTGAAGCTATTTGCATTGGCTCATTAAAAACATCTTTGCTTCATTGATTCCCTGTAGCAGAGTTATCTTGCAAATTATGCTGCTGTAAGTACTGAAAAATTGCTGGATATCTTGCTGTCTTGGCTGGATTCCAAAATGGGGAATTACCTTCTATGTACCAAAAAGACATTCTGTAGTTTCCTTGAAGTTAATCTCTACTTTTTGTCCAACTTAGCTTGTCTACACAAGATGTTTACTGTGGAGCTACCTAATTAGCTCAGCAGTAAAAAATTCAGCATCTTCACATGAGACCCTATTAGGCCACATGAAATTAATAAACTCCGCTGCAGGATAGGACCTGTAAACACAAGTCCTATCCTGCTGCGGAGTTTTTTCTTGTGCAACAATGCATGTATAGATGCTGACAGGGCTGGGTGGGGCACAAGGGTGCTTCAGTATGGAGGGCTGCCTGTCAGCCAGCCCCTCCGCAGCACTTTGAGCCAAGTTGGAACAGCCCTGGGTTGGAACATGTTGTCTACATATTAAATATTAAGTTGTACTTCTAAAAACCTGGGTTTACCTCTGTGCTGTACCCATGACCACTATTGAGAAGCATGTACTGCCCATTCACTCCCATTTGGCATGTGCCAAATCCTAGAAAAAAAGTAGCCTTAAAGCATCTTTGAGCATATGCCTAACACCTCTCTGCCTCATGTACACTTCTTGGTGCATGCTGATGGCTGCTCTGAGGCACTGACACTGCCCCATTTGTGGGATTTGGCACATGCCAAGAGCATTTGAGCAAGTGCAAGGTGCTTCTCAGTGGTGGTGGTAAGTATGGCTGAGAGATGATATAGAGAGGCCCTCAGTAGCTACAGAAAACGTCACCAGATCCTGATTTCTCTATCACCTACAACTTATTACTAAGTCATAAAACATGCCCCAACATGAGAATAGCTCTGGTTCTTTCAACCCTCAGTTTTTGGATGGACAGATTCTGCGTCAGCAATTTGAAATGATTAATGTTGGGCTTTTTTCTCAATTAAGTTCACTGATGAGTATGTTGTTCTTTTCCTATTAGCCTGAAGGCTCACTATTCATCACTACACTCAGCAAAACACAGTTGTCCTATGTCCTGGGGATAGTAGTCGCAGAAAAAATAATGGGCATTGTGCCAGATGGTACTCACAACTGGGAGAAGTTTATTACACCTGAAGAGTTGGAGCGCCTGTTAGAATCAAGTAAGTGTCAGAAACATATTGCAGGTGTACTGCAAGTGTTACTGTTGATAATGGCAGTTAGCTGGGAGCTGTATAGCCAAACATGTTTAGTAATGCAAATAGAACTTTTCCACATCTAGGTTATCAGTTCATTTTTGGCCATGGTTATGCATAGTTTAAAGCTTGTTCACACCTGATAGCTTCTCAGCCAGCTATACATAATTAAATGGGTCTTGTGCAGTGACAACAGTAGATAAAATAATTATCACGACAAGGCCCCTTTTTATGGTCTAAGTAAAGAGGCAAAGAAATTTGCATCCTGTTGTGTTTCTTAGAGATGTTTCCTGTAAAGCAGGATTGAGACGCTTAATCTGTCAGCATTCAGAAGCCACACTGTTGCTTCACTGAATGACACCTTTGTGTAAGCAGAGGGATTTTCGTCTGTGTGACTGTCACTCACAACACCTGTTATTAGCCTTGCATTCATTACAAGTCTTCACTTAAAAGAAGTCTGAAGCAGACAGCTTGATTTTTAAGTAAAGCTTGAAAGAGTACATCATCATGGTCAGATCAAACCCACTCCAGTTGTTCCAATAATTAGTTTAAAATATTCTGTACTGAGGTGTTGGAGTTTTTATTTCGTTTCTTTCTGCCAGCCACTTTTTCTCTATAGATAATTTGAAGTGCATGGTGGTGTGTGGGGCTTTCTTTTTGTCTAGTTTCTTTTGGTTTTTTTAAACTCACATGAATCTCACTGTAAACAAGGTAATGCATGAACTTGGCTCTATTCTGTATAGGTTTTTCTGCTTTCATCTGTGTAGTACCTGAATGTCTCCTCATAATGCCTTAAGCAACATGACTGTGTCACATTTGTTCTCTCATCCTTTCCCCAAGGAAAGCAGCATGTGCCATGGAATGTTTTATTGTGATAAGGTTTTTAAGTGTTTTATTTTGTCTTCTATTACAAATTGTGTTGGGATGACATAGCAGCAGACAGTGAGTCAGAGAGAGGAGGATGGGATCATTGCATTACTTTTATTCATTAGATTTATATGCTGCCCTCCCCAAGAAGGCTTAGGACACTTACCGTAAAAGGTAAAAACAATCTACTGGTTGTGAAACAACAGCAGACCTAAGAGGTGGTCTCTCAGATTCCTTGATCTAAATTCTTTTTTGCCTCTTTTTTTTTTAATTTAAAGGTGAACCTTTTTCATATACTTAAATCAGACTGTTGGTTTGGGAGTGACCAATTTCTGAAATATTTGGCCAATTATGTAGCCTCCCAGTTGTACAGTAGTGTTGCTCTAAACAAGTGCACTTTCTTGTACTGAACTTAGTTTTGAATCTGATATATTTGTATTTTTTATAGATGGCTTTTTAGTCAAGGCAGTGAATGGAATGTTGTACAACCCCTTCTCAGGGTCCTGGAGTTGGATTGAAAGTACTAGCATTAACTATGCATTGCATGCCATGAAATCTAAGGCACAAGAACAGTCAAGTTCAAGAGAGCCACCTTCAGAGGCAGAAGAGGAGCAGCACCCAGCCAGAGCTAATACCAGCACAACTGTCTAAAGCACTTGCTGGTAAAGCCTACAGTGGGAAGATTTGCATAGACATCTGTAATAAAACTATCTGGAACCAACACATCTACTTGTTTGCATTACTTGTAGTTAAGCTGGTTTTTGCCAGTGTGTTTCAGAACAATTTTTCATTATCTCAGAAATCACATGGATTTTAAAATGAACAAAAATCTTAGAAAAGACTTGTTTTCTAGGAAAAAAAAATGCAAACCTACCAGTATTTGTTACAGGGCTCATACATGTGATGGTTTTTAGAGTCCTTTCTCAAAAAGTTGAGAGGCTAAAGAATAACAGCTCACTGCTGGATTCTGTTTGGAGTGGCTTTTTAAAATGCAATGATGAAGTGTGGTAATTAGAATATTTAAAATAAAAATGTTTAAATCACTCAAGTATACTGCTCTAAGACTTGTGGCTAAGTGTGAACAATTTAAAGAACCAAAAAAGCAACTTTCCTCTTTCTGATTGTGATCCCATAAGAAGTGTAAGGACAGGTGACTCCTTTGTGCTATAGATGAGCCTTCTATGGCTAGTTGTGCTAGTTCTGCAGGTAGTCAAACCACACTTAAGAATTTGGTCTCTTATTGTCGATCCTTTGCATGTCACAAAAGTGGAAGCTGTCATCAGCATTTCTAGCAAAAATGTATCATGACCTGTCATGGGCCAGAGTCAGTTTGGTCATACCTGTGCTCCACTTAATGGTTGCAAGGAAGTTGGTGACCTGGATGCTAGGCCCTCCTTAAGTCTGAAGGGATTCAGACCCACATCTCTGAACTCACCAGGGAGTTCCCTATGGACCATATACATATAGAATAGTTGGGAGAAAGTGAACTGTCCACTTGTCTTGCTGAAGCCAGGCCGCTGTGCAACCAAGAATTCAAGAGTCATGGCACAGAAAGAGAAGGAGGCATCATTGATTTTTAAAATGACTTGGTGCTGTGCATACTGATGACCTGAATGGGCGCATCCAGACGAGCATGCATGTGCCTCTTGCCCCTTCTAAAAGGGGTTTGAGACAGGGAAAGGGAATGAAAAAATGTTCCCTGCACTACAAACTTGCAGCGTGGGGAGAAAATTAGACCCCTGGATATTCACTTGCATGGTCAAACTACAGTCTTGCTGCCCAAAATGAATTTAGGCACCCAGGGCATTTTCTAACTGCTAGAACTACATTTGGGATCACTCTTTGAAACTGTAGCAGAATTTAAGCCTAAATGGAATTTAAGGGCCATCTACAAAACCAGTCTAGACTTGCGCTGGAAATTTAAGTCGTATTCATTGCCACAGTCTCTCATCTAACCTACAGTCCTGATGGAATGTACGCAGAGTGCTGATCTATTCTGAAATGCAATTTTCTAAATAAAATGATATTGCACAAGACTGTTTTCCTGTCTGTTTACAAGTAAAAAGAAAAATAATTGTTTTCCTAACTGTCGACTTGGAAACTCAGGACACTTCCTACGCCACATCATCTGTTGTTAATTTTATATATAATTCATAAATAGTCTATTAAACTTTTCTAATAATTATTGTTTCAAGCCTGTAACTTTATTTTATCCGTTGCATCTGTCTCTTTAAGATATCTGGTTTTGACTTAAAGTCTTTGTCTACCATTCTGTGCTCTTAAGTGCTTCAGCCTAACCAAATGGATGGCCATAAAGACGAGACCATACTACTGAGTCATAAATGTTGGTCTGTATACCTGGCCTATCTCCATCACTGTTTACTATCCACTGAGGATTTGTTACCTGTGAGAGTTATCAGATTTTCTTCAATAGTGAATTTTCTTAAGAAAATAGATATTGAATAGCATTGGGTCAAAGACGCATTCCCAAGGAAGCCCACAGGCAACCCCTTTGTGGGATGATAGTTCTCTAAAAATAAATTGTAAATGGAGATTTATCGGGTAATAAAGCACTAATCTAGGTGATGTCTCAGAATGGAGCAGCTGATATTATTCTAAGATGTTAATTAAATATGCTTGTATAGCCACTTGTAACCAGTCACTTGTCACATTCTCTTTTCCTTCCCTTTCCTTCTATTACTTGTTAGCAACTTATGTTTCCCTTTAAACTTAAAAGTTGTCAGGTATCTAGAGACAGGGCTGTATCTTAGCGATGTTGGCTCCTTTTGTACTAGGTGCAACATAATGATCCTGATTATGTCTGTATACATCCCAGTGACAGAAGCAACAAAACTTACTTTTGTTACCACCACTGACTACAGGACAAAATTGGTTCTTTTTTCCGGTGTAAGCTTACATCCATGGCTTTTATGGAAAAACTTTCATTTTCTGCTTTTAAAATCAATTAAAAATCCTCTGAAAGGTGCTAAATGAGTATGAAATACTAGGTTGCTTTTCAGAAGAATGGCAGCCTTCTTCAAGAATAAGAAGTTATGATAGAAGCTGGATTATTCAATAGATTGTTTTGCCAAGAAATAATTCCATGTAAGGATTTTCCAAATATTAACTCTGTGTTGGATATGTGCATAGCACTCTGTAGGCAAAACAGGAACCCTCCTAACTGGGGAGGGGGAAAAACGGGATTGGTCACATTTTGAGTTTACTGATGTTCCTGTTGCTCATACAAGATTAATATCCTATATTCTGGATGTTTGAGTAGCAGTGTTATACAAGAGATGAGGATTTTCTGTAATCTTTTACTGGACCGACTGTATAGTTAAAAAAGCGGTTGGACAAGCTTTTGGGTATCAACTGACCTTTCTCAGTGTTAAGAGACAATCCAAAAAGCTCCACTATTACTACTCAAGATACTAGAGTGTTGTGGAATGGCTCAGAAACATGTAGAAATGTATTTGTAAACAGTGGAATAGATAGGTTCTCTGTATAAGTTTTCCTTATTTGAGACACTGAATACACGAAGAGTTTCCAGAAAGTTCATTTATAAAAGTATGTACTGTGGCAAAGTACAGAAACCACTGTAAACTGGCATCAGACAATTAGGAATTCAGACAGAACACAGATATAGAAGATTTTAGCCCTGAAGAGAGGGGGGAGGGGAACAGTCATGCTAATCTGCAAATGAAAACAGTGATTTAAAATAGAAGGTATTACACACACAGCAGGCAGTGCTATGCCTGCTTTGAAATAAATGTGCATCATTTAAAGGCTAACTGCTAAAGCAAAATTTGAGTTAAATAAGTTTGTTCCAAGAGGTTCCCATGCTATAGAACTATTTAGCAGCTAAATTTAAACTACCCCTTTACAATAAGTATTTTCCTCTTATGTTAAAGCTTTTTGCGTTAAAGTAGGGGTGGGCAATTATTTCATCTGGAAGGCCACTTAACAAGTGTTGGTGAGCTGCCAAGGGCTGCAAGGATAGCCCCACACCTTGACAGGTCCCTGCCCCCTGGCCACCATCTTGGGACCACAAGTGCTGCTCCCTAGCCCCTGACCTTTGCTACTGGAAGTCCTTCCCCTTACCCCAGAAGCACTCCTTTTGTGGGGAGAGGGGGGTTGCCATCTTGAAACCAAACAAAGCCCCAAATCCTATACTAAAACAAAATCAAGCATCCACTATAATTTATTTTAACTTTATTTAAAAAAAAATTTCCCCTTAAGGTGTGTGTGTTTGCATAGTGTATCTAGAGGAGATTGCATGATAGCTCAAAATACAATCTTACTCTTGTATATCGTGTGGTGGGGAGGTGTGCCGGATGTGGGGGTATGTGGTCAGGGTGGGGGGTGTGGGAGCTTTGGAAGGGTCTGGGTATGTGTATGGGGACTGTGGGTATGTGTTGGAGGTATGGTGTGTGGGAGGGTGTGGCTGTGTGGACTGGGGGGACCTCGGAGTCCCTGGAGCTGCACGTGGTGGCAGTGAATAGGGCCAGCCTTACTTGGCCTCATAGTGTGCAACACCCCGCACTCCTTTCCCAGTCCCTGGCTGCAGGTGGCAGCTGTGTGTGGGGCCAGCCCCACCTAGCCAAGTTGTACTTCCACCCGAGTCCCTGTCTACAGGTGGTAGCAACATGCGGGGCCATGACCACCCAACCCCATAGTGCGCAGCTCCTGTGCTCTTGCAACATGTAGGGCTAAACCAGCCAAACCCCATAGTGTATGGCTCCCTGTGCCCCTGCCCTCTTTCCCCTGGTGTAGTAAGAAAACTTTTTTTTGGCTTGCTCCCCCTCCAATGTGAAGCCCCTCCATATGGCAAAAAGCCCCTTTTACAGTATTTGCCCCCTTTTGGGGATGCTTTCTCTTTTCTACCTTTTCTTCCTTCCTCCCTCTTCTTCTTTTATTATATTATTATTATAGAATATAAGGTGTTCTTGTAATAAAAATATAGTTTGTAGATGCTTTTATGGGTATAATATAGTATTCTGCATCAGTATGTCCGCTGCCCCCCCCAATTGTATTTGGTCTATTTGTTGTATGTGCCATGGCATTTCACCCTTTTATGTTTTATATTCTATGCTTTCTACCAAGTGAAAGGTACTACTTGTAATGGAAAGAATTACAGTAGTCCTATCTTCTTTCATTAAATGGATTCCTGGAGAAAATTTCATAATGGGCATATAGTAACTGAATCACTTATAACACTGGCTCAGCTATGCTTGGTTATGCTATCATCTGGCATAGGAAGGTATGCTTGTAATTTTCCTTAAGAAAGAAATAAGGGGAAATATGTATTTGTGCATCACAAAAATGTCTTAAGGCATACAAGGATGTTTTGTAACATCTTTTATCATCACATTTGCTGACATAGGTAGGTATACTTGTAAAGTTCACAGAAAACCAAAAAAGCAAATGACACATGATATAGATTAGAAGTGTACCCCTGCTCAAAGCAGCGGATGAGCACGTTTATTTTTTTTACATCAGGTATTTAAATGGCCTTCACCTCCTGTGCACTGGAGCACCTTATAATCTTCATGTTTTTATCCTTGCAGGATCCCTTTGAGAGAAGGAGGTGTGGCTTTTTTCTTTTTTTTTTTAGAATTGAAATAGGGGGTCAGAGAAGGAAAAAATCCCCACTACAACACAGGCAACCCCAAATATAACCATAGAATCATATAATCCTAGAAAATTAGGGTTGGAAGGGACCTCAGGAGGTCATCTAGTCCAAACCCCTGCTCAAAGCAGCACTATCCCCTACTATATCATTCCAGCCAAGGCTTTGTCTAGCTGGGTTGTAAAAACCTCCAAGGATGAAAAGTCCACCACTTTTCTAGGTAACCTGTTTCAGTGCTTCACTACCCTCCAAGGCTAAGTACAGACAGTCAAAAAGCCTGAGGCTCAATTGATTCAGTCTTTGCAGGTTAATCTAAAATGCACAGATTAAATTGAAACAGAAGTGAACAGACATTTATTTTTGATTCAGGAAATGCAGCCACATACCAGCAGTGGCTCAGGCCAGAAGCCAGGAAGCACTAGAGCATGGCTATCTGGCTGTGTGTTCACTTCCTCTTCCTGCTGCCCCTGAGGTCTCTGGGACTTGCAGTCCAGAATCAAAGCAGCAGGACTCCGCAGGGTTTCTCATAATTTCCTCTTCCTGCTTCCAGATGCCTCTGTGATTTGTAGTTCACAATCACAGCCAGCAGAAAGCTTGAGCAGGAAAAGGGGTGCTTAAACCCACTCCCTGGCCCCAGACTCCAGCTGGGGCTTGCCTGGAGGGGGCAGCCTTCCCCCCCACATGCAGACTGGGCTGCCTCCCCAGCCAGGCTTGCTTCCCTCACCCCCTTATCAGCCACCCCTTACTGCTTCAGCTAGGGAACAGAGGGGTAGGGCCAGCTCTGCTCTCTGGAGCAGATAGCACAGCCCAGGCCAGGTCTGCAAAGCATGCTGGGATGCTGGGGGACTGATTTAACTTGAACTAAGTAGGGGTCTGAAACAGAATTTTCATCAACTGGTTTGACCCAAATCAGTTAAGTCTGATACTACATTCAGCCAGGTTTATCTTAAATCAGTTTCAGCCATTTTGAAACTGATTTATGTGCACTGAACTTCTGTTCTGTTACAGGTTTAAAACTGTTTCTGATCACTGAAACCAGTGTATAT